CATCATAAGCCATTGAGATGGGGAATAATTTAAGAGACTATCTAAACAAAAGCGCTCACGGTTATTTATTAATTTAACGACATCATCATACAAGGCAATTCGTTCTCGTTTGGCAATTTCTACAACGGCTTTAACACGCTCTTGTTGGTTATCGTATTTATTATTTAATTTTTTTTTTAACAAATTATTCTCAAGTAGTAATTGTTGATTTAAACATTCTAATTCATTAATTTTTTTAATAAGACTTTTATATTCGGGATTCGGTAACGAAACTTGGACTCCAAAATCACAAGAATGTTCGGGTAATAACACTTGAATCCCAGAATTATGAAAATTTATTTCATTATCAGACAAACCTTTTTTTTTAGTTTTTTTCATTGGAACATAAAAAACAGAATCACCAACTTTTTCTATTTGCTCAAGAAAAAAATTTTTAATGATTATATTGTTGTAATGTTTTTGACATACAGAGTAATCGTTCAAAGAACCAAGTAATGGTGATAATTTTGGAAGATACTTAACCAAACCCTTGGCTTTATTCTCAACCATGGGGCATCCGCATGTCGCCACCTTTGCTTTTCAGGAGTTTCACATATTGCCAACTCACTTCCCGGGTAATCCCCAGCAAGAAAGTTAAACAAACAAGGTAAATCTTTGGCTTCTGTTCTCGAAATCGCCATGTCTATATACGAATATATATGTATTTTAAGCAAGAATAAAAAAAAAACTACACTATAAACTTTCGTGGATCCTTGTGGATTCTTAAACTACGGGTTTTGAAAAATGTATTTTGACAATTAGTTTTTTTAAAAAATTGTGCAAATTTTTTTTTTGACGTCACGAAGTTCACGGTTTTGCGTCGATAAGGATGATCGTCTACCAATTAGATTTCAAGACGTGATTTGGAATATTCTAGATCTGATTTCCAAATTGGGTAAAATACCGGACTGAAGTAGTAAGATAAAATATAAAAATGTATTTAGAATTATTGAGGCATGTACATATGTATATTTATTTTTGGCATTTAAATTTTAGAAATTTATTAAAAGTAAATGCAAACTAAATACATTTACTTTGCCGCAACAAAATTAGGCATGAACGAATTGCAGATTATTTAAAAGAAAATATTCGAAATTTCTAATTGTGCATAATCTATATCTGCTAGACTTTATTATTTTATGTAATTTGCTTCTTTTTAGCTCATAGCATATATGAATTTTTTTCTTTCACATACAATATTTAATTTTCTCAGCATGTAAAATAAAATGCACCTATAGTGGTTTTGCACCTATTATATGTTTTTAAGTACATACGTACGTACGTACGTATTATGGTTTTTATACCTTTTTTGTAGTTGTAAGTGGGAACGGGATTTAGGTGGATTTAGAATTTCTTAGAATTTTAGGGTTAGAGTTTGCAATGAAATGAAATACTAATTTAACTAAGAAATTCCAAATCCACTTAAATTCCGTTCGTTGTGGTAAAAGTGATATTTTCTAATACAGTACGTATGCTATGATCGTCTTATAATGCGCATTTCAATTTGCTGATCACTGTAAATAGGGTTAAGAATGAATTGAATTAGGTAATCTAATTTTGGTCTAAATTTCAGTATTATTTATCGTTATAGAAAATTATTATGTAAAAGGATTTCTTTAAAAATCTTTTTTGTAAAATATACATATATATTATGTTATAAGAGACTAAGTTGGTCCAGAATTATACTGCTAATGATGCCAAATTATGCTTGCTAATTGTATTAAATTATGCTTTTTATGCTAATTACTTTTTTTAAAAAAAAATTTGAATTACTACGCGCACTTTTCAAATTACTGTAATTAGCAAATATACATCATACTAGAATCTAAAAATCAGGATTTTAAATGCGCAAAATATATAATATTTCTATTAGAACATAATGTTATCTATGTTTTCAGACTTTGAGTGAAGAGATCTCAATAATAATCTGGTTAAATATTTTAAAATTCTATTAATTTATAAAATTCAAAATAGTTGATTATTGAAAATAAACAGAGATTTTTTCATTCAAAATTTATAAAAAAAAAACTTAAACTTTTTATTGTTTTGTTAGCTAACTCAAAGGTATAATAAAAAGAATTTCAAAAAATTTGTGAATTTTTGCATAGTGGGTAATAATTTAACAACTACAGTAATTTGAAAATCACAGTACAGTCTGGGAATATACCAAATTTGGTCATCGATGATCTTACCTTATTTGGTAAATGATCATCAGTCGGATGAT